GAACTGTTTCTGAGAGACAACTTACACCTTTTCTATGTAGCTGACAGCTGGTAACTGTGCAGGGGCGGGTCTAGCAAAGTTTTGCCATGGGGCCAGGTAGAGCATTAACAGGGAAAGGGGGCACAAAGAAATACTTTTCTTTCTTATTCTCATTTAAAATTTCTAGCTTTCAACAAATAATTATCCGAATCTTACAACCAAAGTTTTCATCCGATGTCAAATTTATAGAAATCCATTATTGTACATAGTAAGTTTTTTTCAGGGTCCCAACATAATTTCTTCAGAAGAAAGTACTGTACATGATGCCAGTATTTTCCCACATTTTCTAGATACTGTACTAGTACTTTGTGTAAAATGCCATCGAAAAGTCAGTTAAGTTTTATTCTTTCTCACCTGTCTTTCTGTCTCCTTTCACTTTTAAAAGGTTGCCATGTTAGAAAAAATATTTTGCCCTGCCATGCTGTTTTTTGATGTGGTAAATAAATAGTTTATGAAAATATCACTAAATCTGTCATTTATTATTTTTAATATTCAGTAATGGTCATGTCTCACCTCTAGTCTTCTCTGTCTTAATTTCAGGTTTCCACCATATGTTGTAGATAGTTCAGGAAGTTAACTCAACCAAGCAGTCTTTGGGTTTCAGCTAAGTACTGTTTAGAATACCAGAATAGGGAGGATGGTGTAGGTTTAAGTTTATTAGATTGATACATATGTACCAACAAGACAGTGTACATCACTGTCACAACGACGTTTGTTTTCATTCAAAGGCTTTATGGTTTTTCCTATAATACCTGGTGGGCCGGTCTCTAGTCAAAATGCCCGGGCTGATTTTTTGTCCCAGTCCAGCCCTGATGTCTACTCTTGTTGTTCATATTTGTTATAAGACTGTCGAATAGTAGTTAAAACAATAAAGACCTATTGTGCCAGTATCACCATGACTCTTTCTTGTTTGTTCAGAATAACGACTGAACATGGCATTTTAGCGCTACCAAAAAATTATTGTGGCCTATAACCTGTCACTGAAACAATATTTCGGCTTCAAACTTGTTGGATATATTCCAGAAGGGTTACATGTGATATATTATATCCCAAAAACTCTCCAAGAACTGCTGAATAACTTGTTCAGGAACAATAAAACTGATAATATGCAATTTCCAACCTGCCAAAAAGTGATTGGCGCCTATATCTTGTCACTGAAAAAATGTTTCTGCTTCAAAATTGTTGGATATCATCCAGAAGGGTTACATGTGACACATTATATCTCAAACAATCTCTAAGGACTGTTCAATAACTATTAAAGGACCATTAATACCCATAATATGCCATTTTCGACTTGCCAAAAAGTGACTGTGGACTATAACTTGTCACTGAAATACTATTTCTGCTTCAAACTTGGTGCATGTCATTCAGAAGGGTCATTGTTACGCCCCAGTCTAGGGGTACAGGGATGCAACATAGGTTTGGAAAATTGCCCCGCCCTGGTCCCCAAAACCATACACAGAGGGAAAACCAATCTCTTAGTGAATGGTGGTTTATTTTTCTACACTGCAAAAATGAAGCTCCGGGGTGAACAAAGGCCAAAATAACAAACAAAACAAGCTAAGTCAGGAGGAGGTGCTATCTAAACCCTATGTGAAATCAAACATCAAACAAAAGACAAGCGCTACACCTAACTCCCTAACTGAAATAAACAGGAGAAAACAGTGCAAGGAAAACAATAAGGCAGCTCACCCCTTCTGTTCCAGTGCTATTTACAATGTGCTATTTACAATGAAAACTAATGTACACACTATATACAGAACTCAGAAGGTCGCACAAATGTCTCAGGTTTTGGAGGCCAGGGTCAGGTCTGCTGCTGCTCCTGTCAGTGGCTGCCCCAGGACAACTGCTGGTGAGGGATTTTGAATGCGACCCATGATCGGCAGACCAATCGGCAGCCGTCTGCTCATCCACTCAGGGACCTGCAAAGACTTAAAGGCACAGACAAAGAAAACAACCACCAAAACAACCACCAAAACAGATTATGGCCAGGGCCATAACAGTCATATGTCAAATATTACATCTCAAACAGTCCCTCAGAACTGCTAAATTACCATTAAGGGAACAATAAAACTGACAATATGCAATTTTCAACCTGCCAAAAAGTGATTGTGGACTATAACTTGTCACTGAAACAATATTTCTGCTTCAAACTTGTTGGATATCATCCAGAAGGGTTACATGTGACATATTATATCCCAAACACTCTCCAAGAACTGCTGAATAACTTTTAAAAGAACATTAATACCGATAATATGTCATTTTCAACCTGTGCATAAAAAGTCAAATTTCAAAAATGTTGTAATTCAAAAATAATACAAAAAAAGGATTAGGAACACCAAGTAATAGGAAAGACAAAACAACGGTAATAAAAATGTCATTCCAATACAGCACTTATTAATTGAAACGAAAACCAAAAACAAATAACAATTGAATCCAATTAAAGAAGAAACCACCAGTTAAAATAAACTAACAAATAGACCAGAAACAGGGGGTACAGCGGAAGCTCAACACCAGTAAACCATGGAACAACATATATATTAATTCTTTGCATACAGTAACTATGGTAACATGTTAGGAAACACAAAATAATTGAATAATCCTACAAACAAATTGCAATCAAAGCTGAACTCTAATGTTGTGAACAACACAGAAACACACACAGCAACACAAACATAAATTAATGAATTACTAAACAAATAAACAACCAATAAATATTATAGGAGACAACGATACAAAACAAGAAACATTTCAAAAACATTGAAAAATTGACAGCGACCCTAACTTTCTGACCAGCATGCTTCACAAACAAATGGGTTTTTTTTTTGGTCTTGCAGGGCTTCTTGGCACAGCCCCTGTGGTACCACCGTGGGTAAATCTTGCAGCCAGTATGAATTAGACAAAACAAGGTAACACGAGTATTTTGTTAAAAGTGTTATACAAATAAGTATGTAAATAACAATCTTGCAAAATACTAAATCCCTTTGAGGCAATAATAATTTTAGGTTACTTTACAAAAGTAAAAAGAAAAAAGTTTATTTTGTGACCCAGAAAGAGTAATATTTCAAACTCCGCCACTCTGTGTTCCTCCGCCACTGCCTCATTTGAGTTTTTGGACGAAATGGATTCTGGGATATTGCATTTCGTCATTTCGAGCTGATTGCAGACCAGAACAGGCAATCAGATTTGTCCTTTTTTGTGCTCCTTTATGTCATCTGCACTTGTCTGTTTGTGACGTCTGCACTGTGCCGTGTTTTTGTTATTCAATAAATGCATTGCAAAAAAAAACAAAACAAAAAAACAGGCAATCAGATTTTTTTTGCATCCAAGTCTGTGATTGGCTGGTTTTGTGGCACAAATATAACGGTGTACAGAAAGAGTTGAGCGTGCACAGGCAGAAATGTTGAGAGCGCAAGCAACACAAGCACAAGTGCAAAAACTGAGCGACAGGGGCTGCTATTGTGTGTGTGTTTAGATAATAGCAAACACTGAAATACATTTTTTGCACGCAGCAATGAATTTAGTTCACTCAAATTTACCTTTTCTTCGCTCAAAATAAATTTCTCCTCAAAATGCAACACTTGCACCTGCATTTTTTTTTTACGTGCGCTCAGAATAGTGGCACAAAAATAACGCCATAGAAAGGAAGGGGCAGTGTATGTACAACATTCAAAGGAAAGGAGAAATAAGGAGGTGGTCATATCGAGAATAGGATTTGGACATACTGGTGTGAACACTACACTTTGATAAGGAAAGATAAAACAGGGAAATGTGACAACTGTGGAGAAGACGAAACGATAGAACATGTCATCTTACACTGTCAGAAGTGCAGGTGGAGAGATGATAACTGACCCAAAATCTCAGTAAAATAAAAATGAAACTAGATCTTATTTATTTACTGCAAAAGGACTCTAGAAGTAAAGGTTATCAGGCCTTATTCCAGTTTTTAAAAGAGGGTAAATTGTTTGGGAGGACTTTAGTTGTTGTTTTGTTGTTGTTGTTGTTTTGTTTTGTTTTGGGGTTTTTTTGGGGGGAGGTTCCAGTTCACACTTCATACCAGTTGGTGGCGGTAATGCGCCATTCAGTTGTTTACCAACCGTCAATAAAATTTAGAAGAAGAAGAAGTCTAGACTTTCATGACGATTTCGCTGACACCCAATTGGCGCGCCTTGTGTCCGTTTGCCTCACAGGTACGTTGAAGCAATTATAATAAAAAAAAAAAACTGCGCACGGGTGGATTTGTGACACTCACAACAGGCTGTGTATTTGCTTTTAACCAAGACGTTATTTGGCCGTGACAGTCAAACGTCCAACAGTTGAGCTAAGCTAAGCGGCTATTGCTTTTGCTAGCTAACGTCGGCTAACGTTGAACACCAAAGATGTACACGAGTAACGCGAGATATATAACTTTGCAGTACTTCCGCGTTCGCGTATGCAGGCATGAGAGGGTTCTGTTTTGTTAACTGACCTGTTAAAGCTAACATGACATAGTAGTCTTTTTCAAAAAGCAACTATATGGTAAGATTTGCTAATCCGCATTTTATATTATATTTGGGCTGGGTTTACCACATGTAAGCACTAGCGTATGCGGATTTTTATCTTGATTTTTTATGTGTCTTTGGCTAAACTTTGAGAAAAACGGTGTGGCTACGTTAGGTATATGTACCAATAAAACATCGAGCATCTTGACAACCGAAGCCGTAAACAGACCGTTTCTGTACCCTGTCTCCAAGACTTGTTTTAGAAGGTAATAATTAGTCCTGTTCATCGATAGAAACGCGCTTTGTTTATGTTTGATTTCCGTCAGCCTGCTTCCCTTTCACAAAACACAGCCGAACTAGTGCGAGAGTGAAGATGAAGAGATCCAAAGGCGGTGGTGACGAGGAAGCTCCCCGGCATAATGGCTCAGCGGGCCGAAGGAAAGCAGACCAGCAGCAAAGCGACGGGGACGAGGGTGGCAGTGACATCGGCCCAGCCGACCTGCAAGACGACGACAATGACCAGGGCCTGAGGAGAGAAATAAGGAGCAAATACAGAGACCTCATCAGCTCAGTACAACGTGAGTGACTACAGGCCAGCAGGTTTGGGGATGGCCAAAGTTGTTGATTTGTATGTATTACAAACAAATCCTTGATGTGCTTTTCTTCTTGTTTTGTTTTTCAGAGAACAGGGAAGATATGCTGAGCCCTTCAAACAACAAACTAACAGAGGTTTTAGAGGAAGCAAACAAACTTTTTAAAGATGGTAGGTCTGATACATGTAAATGAATAACACATGCCAGCAGATCAATCCTTTATACTTTACATTTTTTTGGTTGGGTTTTGGTGGCAGTTCGACAAGCGAGAGAAGCAGCCCTGGATGCACAGCTCCTTGTTGTGGCTACAGACCTGGGGAAGGAGAAAGCCAGCCAGCTGTTCTCCGAGGGAACCGCTTTCGATCCCACTGCTTTTGCTGAGCATCTTGTGAGTATGATTACTGTATCATGTCTGTCCTTCAGTCACCTTGCACGAGTGGTCCATACAGACCTTGCAGTTTTGTACAGTTGCAGTATTTCTGTCTGGATTTGTAACTCGAGCTGCACATGCTTTTCTTTTACCTTAAGTTATGTATGGTTAAAAAAAGGCAAGGAGGGCAAAACAAAGCTGACAGGAGTTTGTTTAGTGGACTCATATGATGGCCAGACAAACCCCAGTAATCATGAATTGTTAAATATCTGTCTGTAGGGCTGTTTGATATGATAGAAATATATCGGATGATGAAATGAAAACATCTATCGTTTCATATTATATGCTATTTTTTGTTTCGTGATGTCACAAAATACACTGTTATGGCAATATTTTCTTAATTGTTTGGATGGTCATCATGTGGATGCAGGCACAGAGAATACCAGCAGAAAGAGTATGGAGAGAGTTTACGGATGAGAAGCAAAAAAATAAACCTTAGACTCAAACATTAGAACAGGCTTTTACCCGCCACACAGCTTGTAAGAAATACAAAGGAAATGGTGGCCGTTACAACTTGTATCTAAAAATATATAGTTTAATGTACTGCCCAAACACTTGACTCCAACTGAAAAGCGAAAACACTTCACACAAGTCGAGTTGCTTGAGATTCACAGAATTTACAGAAAATGGTGGATGAGAAATGTCTTATATTGGGATATGAGTCATATGGCACAGCCCTATGTTTCTTTATGATAACGCGGTAGCTATAGCAGCTTTGTACTAGTTTTTTTCCTGCTCATTTAAGTGAATTATACAGACACAAATACTAATAAATGTAGGAAAATGTGCGATTTTAACACAACTTCCAAAGCATCACATACTGCAGTGGTCATGTCTATGTTTCTCTACAGTTGTCTTTCATGGGTCTGAACCGACTAGAAGATGATGAAGACGAGCAGCAGAACACCGCTAATGGCTACCTGCCACAGGACGCCTGGCACCGATTGGCCAGGAGAGCAGAGTGCTGCTTTAGGACAGCACCCTCTTTCCACTACATGTGAGTGATTTAGCAAGTCTGTTTACTAGCTGGGACTGCAGTGCCAGGGTCTTTGCCTGCCAACTAAAAATAGACTGATGTTCTGTGAAGAAGCAAATTAATAACACAGAAATTTTCTTTCGACAAGCGCACGTGGTCTTCTGCCAGTCCATAAAAGTAGAATAAGTGGTTCCAGATTTGCTGCCAGCAATCAAAGAGTCCTTGAACAGCTCTTTGTCGTTTCCTAAAAACCTTCCTTTCTCTTATTTTTTTTTCTCTTCCACCGTTTGCTCCTCCTGTCTCATGGAGTGCAAATAACAAGTGCTTGAGTGATGCCAGGTTGTGTCGTTTGCTGTCATAGCCTGGGTATACTCAACTTTGTACTTTTGTCTCAAATGGCAAAACAAGTTTGTTGTTTCTACCTTTAACAGGAGGAGATTTCTTGCATATTTTACAAAGTATTTTGTGGTGTTGGAATTTCTTGGCTGTTGTTTATGCAGTCTGGGATTGTGTCATTGTTGTGCCTGCTGGGAAATGTAAACGCATGACACTGTTGTACCACTCACATCAGGTTGCGACACTTTTATATCGCATAAAAATTTATGCTGGTATATTATGGATGGTATGATGTGGCACCAAAATTATACTGCAGCAGGGTAATGCTTACTCAGTCATACTCTGGCTTTTGTGATGCTATTTTGAGAATTTGATGCTGTACGATGACGTGAATAAGGTCCCAGTCACACAGTCAGCAACCCCCTGGCAACCAGCAGTCGTGATGGAGAGTGATGTGTATTTCCTGACCAGCTGGTGAATGGTTGCTGCCCGTCACATGGTGAAATTGGACACAAAGAGGTCTGCTGTTCTGCACAAATATCCTTCTTTTAATTGTTTTTCACTGGCAGATTGCTCCAGCTGCCTGTAGATTGCATGCAGGAAGCTTTTCTGTAGACACTTGCCAGCAACTCTCCGAGTGGTCATTTTTTTACTACCGCGATGGAGTTAGTTGGTGAGTGTTTGCAGACAAGTTGGTGTCTTCCATGGAAACTACAAAGCAATCTGCAGGACTAAAATGATCACAAGGAGGCTTTTGGTGTGGCACCCTCTTTATGGCTGATTCAACCTACCACTCACCAATCAGTCAGGGAAGACACATTTTTCCCTCCCTGGTGGCGGTGTCATGTCCAATATGGTGGACAACTCTCAACAATGTGAGCAAAATGTCATCAACGCAACCTCACCTGTGGATTTTACATATGAGAAGTTCTAAACAGAAGGCGCATTGTCAAATTATGGCATAAGATGGAATAACACAGTGGTTTTATGTGGATACGTTTTCTGATTTTCGGTTTTTTTTAAAATTTCTCATCCCTCTGGTTCTTTGCAGGATGGGCTCGTTCTATGCAGAACCACCTCCCCCAAAACAAAGGATAGAACGGCAAAGAAAAGCACCCAGCAAAGAAGCCAAAAGGATAATGCCTACTCAGGTAACTGAAATGACACTTCCATGGCTGCTGTTACCTACATGTAGTTTAAGATAAATGTAGTAGCCACCCCGTCCCTGTTTCCATTTTCCACACATACACAAAGTTTCGCCACATTATCCACCACAATGTTGGTATTTGGACCAAATGATCCCTGTGAATCTTCTTCTGTTGATTTGGAACCCCTGGAAGTTTATTTTAAAGCTATTATTAGTGATCTTGATTTGAAGTTGGACAGTGATGTTCAATTAGACGGTAAATCAGAGCGGTCGTTAAGTCTAGTTTTCATCATTTAAGGCGATTGGCAACAGTCAATTTTTTTTCTTTCTAGGCAGCACTTTGAAACAGTGATCCATGCTTTTATTTCATCCCATCTGGATTACTGCAACTCTCTTTATGTGGGAGTCAGTGAGTCGCTACTCTTGCGCCTGCAGCTGGTTCAAAATGCGGCTGCACGAATGTTAACAGGAACTTGTAAAACAGAGCATATAACCCCTCTCCTGGCCTTACTTACTGGCTGATCGTATATTTTAAAGTTCAACTTTAATCTTTTCACAATCTTACCCCACCGTACCTCTCTGAGCTTCTTCACCCCTACACACTCTCAAATCAGCTGACCAGCTGCTCCTGGAAGTACTGAGATCCACAAGGAATGTTAGGGGGACAGGGCCTTTTCTGTCGCTGCTTTAAATTATGGAATAACTTTCCCTTACATGTTAGAGAGGCCCCTTCACTGTAATCTTCATCTTTCAGTGCATATCTTGACTTTTTATTATCTAATTGTATTTCTTACAAATGAAATCAACAGATTTTTAAATTTATTTTTTTAATTTTGTGGACCTATCCCACTTATTCGGTGTGTCATTAAATGTCTTTTAGCTGAAGAAAATGGAAGAGTCGCAACAAGAAGCGACAGAAAAAGAAGTGGAAAGGATTCTGGGGTACCTGAAGAGTTATTACCAAGATGATCGTGAGTTTGAAGTCGACCTCAGAGACATCGCATGGCTGTGTAAACTATTAGTTGCTCACGTGTACTTTTTTCCCCTCTCCTTCTATCACAGCAACCTCACCAATATCATATTACGAGTTCGTCATTGACCCCAGCTCCTTTTCCCGGACAGTGGAGAACATCTTTCACACTTCTTTTCTGATCAGAGTAAGGAATTTACTAAAGATTTAAAGTGAACTCCAGTGCCTCCTGGTGACCATAAACAGGCATGACAGTTTCATTTGTGTTTCAGGATGGACTGGCAAGAATGTATCTTGATGAAGAGAAATTGCCATGTATAGGTGAGATGATGTGACACTTGTACTGTTCTGACTGGGGGATAGCATAGAAAATCCCTTGAGGTAAATAATGAAATAAAACAATGTTTTCATGTTTCAGCTCCTGTAGAGGAGGGGGAGGTGGAAGCCGGAGGTTCCACCAGCCGTAAGCAGTGTATCCTCTCTATCAGCCCAAAGATATGGAAGGTTAGCAGGTTTTGGCCTGAAGTGCACATTAATTAAAAGCACGGTAGCTACAATCAAGATTTTGTTTTGTGCCTGTGATATTAATTGTAAAGTTTGCTTTGTCCTTCTCAGGAGCTCATAGATGCCTTCGACATCAAAGATTCAATTATTCGGCCTCCAAACACACAGAATGACTGACAGACTACACCATCTTCCCCACTGAAAAACCTAAACATTGTTCTTAAACGTTTTACTTAATAAAATTCAAGTGATGTGTTACAGTTTTATCAGTTGAGGTCAATGTATAATAATCGTTCTATTGCACATTTGTTTATTTTTTACTGTGTTTTAAGTTTGAATAATAAAAAAGAAATGAATAAAAGTTTTTTAAAATTATTTTATTGTAACTCTTGAATATTGATACACAAAAGCCTTAACATAATATGCTTCTGATAATCTGAGCTTTGACATAACACATTGGTAGAAATGAAGGTTCCATGACTGGCAATGATCAAACCGGATATTAGCACAAACATCTCACACTAACTCGCCATGGTGGTGGAAGATTTTTATTTCGGCTTGGTTAGCAGACACATGGCTTGGGTACCTTGGATTTACTCAGTTGACCTTGAACTTCATTGTGAGGTCATCTGTACAACAGTTAAGATTTAACCAACATGGGTAATGTAACAGGACAATGATCCCAAGCAAGCAGCAAGTATGCAACAGAAAGGCTGTAAAAGAGAAGAATGGAAGTGTGGCAATGATCGAGTTAAAGTCCAGACCTCAAGCTGACTGAAATGCTGTGGCGAGACCTTAAAAAAAGCAGTGCAAATGCCTGCAAACCTCAGAACTGTATATCGTTAGTGCAAGAAAGTTTGCAGTAAGGATTGTTTTGATATTTTGTTCATATCCCATAATTTCCTATGACGGATTAGTCTGTCCATGACATAGGAGTCTTAAGTCTTGCGCGAATCAAGGGAAAGGGAAAGTCAGGTTTCTTTTTACACTGGTTTTCTTCATGTAAACCTACTATGAAGCGTGATCACTGGAGTGCCGGTTTCTGCAGCTGGTCTGATCCCTGGACCATGTCAGAATCTTTTATCTGCCTGTATTTATGATGCATGGTTGTCTCAACTGGAAATTTTGTGAGTTGCTCATTTTTAAGGAGCCAAAATGTTATCTTAGTGATATTAGACTGCATACTGATGTTTTGGCCAACCTACCCTTACATATTTTTTAACCTTAGAGGTTCTATATCACTTCACAGTGTATTTATACACATACTCACGCACAAGCAGCCATTCAAAGCCCTGGCCTGGCACCAGGAACAATTTAGGCTTCAGTATGTCCAAGACCAGTCTGTTTTTTGCTTGTTTGTATAATTAGATTCCTTACAGTGGAAAGTCATGCTACATTAGACACAACCCAGGCCAAAACAGGCCAGACACAGGGATCATTTGATCCTCCAAGTTTGGAGAGGAGGTTTTCATCACAGAAGAGACCACTCCCTTCAGGAGAAGAATGATTCATCATAGGATAAAGGTGATATCTCAAAACAACTTTGTAGAATCTGCCTTTATGCCTCTTTCTAAGGAGAAAAGGGACCCAAACAATGCCTGCAAAATACCTCCAGAAGCATAACAGGGAGCAGCCTCTGACCTCCTCTCTGTAGATGTCAGGAACTCATCAGGTATAGATATATCCCTGTAACTATGCTACAAAAATGTAACAAAAAGGTTGAGTTAAACAATAAACAGCTAAATCGATAAACAGCTAAAAGATAAAAGTTCTTTATTCTGTTTTGCTATTGGGTTTCTTTGTTATTCCATATTGGCTGAGTGAATATCAGTATGATCGAATTCATTTGGCTGAATGCACTGATACTATCAAACATACCCATCATGATGATGTACCAGCATCATCTTGGTTCTTTTAAAGAGACAGGCACACTTCGTGCTGCCTCCCATCTCTTCCTCTCTCCCACTCTGAGCTTTTTTCCCTCCAAAGCAGTGCTTCAGTCTGCTCACCCTGTGCACTGATGTAGAGTGAGGCTGCATTAAGACTGGAAAGAGTGGCTCCCTTTTTTCACTCTGATTTGATTTAGGTTGGACTCCTTATGTAATGTAGATTTTATATAACAATGGCTTGAAAATATATGTCAGAGGGACACCATGGGCAATGCAATGCAGAGCGTTTATTAGTCGTTGAGGGACACACTCACACAGACACAGAGGCGTGCACACCCTCACTCTGTAGCTCCTGCAGAGATCTTCCTGCTTTGGCAATGCTGAGTCTGACTAACAACGATGCAGTTCTGCAGAAAGGTGCTTTGCCAGCCGTGTAGTGCCAGAGTCACTTCACCAGAGGAGGACATGGAATACAAGATGGGGAGCTGCATCGGAATCCCACACGGCAAGGTAAACAGAGGAGAGGTGGAAAACTGTGGGGCTGTCAGAGACTGGCTGCAGCATTGCATCCATGTCTGTGGGACTGAGCAGGGGATAGCATGGGAGAAGAACCATAGCAGGTTTTACTGGTCAAGTGCTGAGTCTTTACTGAGGAGAAAGCGGGGAGAGGGAAGGTGCATTCAAGTGTTGGAGGAGGGGCGATGTCAGCAGTAAAAAAAGGAGCTGCAGAGACAGATCAGGGAGTAGGGAAAGGAGGAGCTGAGTATAAACGTGAGAGTGTGAGGCTGATCGTAGTCGAGGAAAGATGGGAGACAGACTGACAAGAGAAGGGATTGTTTACATCTGCAGATTCATTTAGTCCATAGCCTACAAATAAAGAAAATCTATAACAAGTGTGTTTGGTGAACAATGCGTGTACTGTTATTTATAGGGATGATGCTATCAGCACACACTGGGGCGCTTGGCTGAAAATAGCCTTTGAAGATGGCAGATGAGAGGATCCAAAAAACATTTAAAGCCTCTCTGTTGTCAAATCTGTAACTGGGGCTCCTGTTTGTTATTCTTCCCATCTGTCAGGTTGCTGTGTGAGTGTGTTGGTGTTGTCCTTACACGTCAGTCACAGGGAAATCTACAGGGAGGTGTTGGACTTAAAAGAGGACCACCAGACTGAAATCGAGGGGATCAGTAGATGTTAAGGTGTAGATATTAAAGGATGCTACAGGTGGTTTGGACACTTTAACGCCATCTGCAGCCTCTTATGTGACAAGTGAGGTCTGACATGCCGTCCTCCTCTCCATAACGTGTGTCTTTGTTTACAATCCCTCGGCCCACTGACTCCCTGAGCAGACATGGCTTCCCCAGCTCCAGTTCGGTCTCCTCCCCTCCCTCCCTCCCTTGATCCTGTCCCAACTTCTGTCCCTGTCCTGCGTCCAGTGCAAAAAATAGCAACAGAGGAACCGGGGCTCCTCAGAAGACAGGACAGAAACACTGGCCTTTAGTCTGACAGTAAACACAGGTTGGAGGGGTTTGTCAAAGCTGGGGGGCACACACTGTAGCAGAAAAAAGACTTTTGTTTGGCGTGGTGAGTAGTTTTTTGGTGAGTTGCAGCTGTGTTAAAACTTTGGATTATATTACGGTGACATTGTTAAAACCTGTACTGAGATTAGTGTGACTGTATTCGATTAAGTGTGAGTGTTTACGGTTACTGGTGGTGTGATGGTGAATATGGGTTTAATCACAAATGTATCAACTTTATATGCACATCAATGCTTTGCAAAGTTCTGAGAAATTACGTGTTGTGTTGTTTAGTTTGGCGGTTTGTTTACCCGCTGATGGACAAACTCATATTTGTCTGACCAAAGACATTCATGGCTCTGAGCCAAACCCGTGAACTTAAAAGATTACTCACGTTGAGTGATGGTCAGGCCGTGATGAGGTGAGAAGAGACCTGGCAACAGCCTAATCACATGATTTCCCCTCAGTGCTTTCTGGGCTGCCAAAAAGCCCCGAAACACTGCTGCCACTTAAAGTGCACACGTGTCACTATAGGGGCTGAAATTACACCCCAATCACACAAATAGCAAGCAGGCGAGCAGGGCCGATAAGCTGCCGCAGCACAGAATAGGTGTGATTTAATATGTGAGGATAGGATGTCCATTTTGTCTTTTGTTTTAATGTAAAAATGTGAGACAAAAAATGATTTCAGGCCATGCTTTGACTGCACGGATGGACTATACGGCCTCTGCGTTCTTTTGGAAATCTAGTTTGTGTGACAAAATTGTGCATAAGACTGTAATAAACGTCAACAGCAGTGAACAGGGCAAATATCTATTTATAAAGTCTTGCATATTCAGGTCAGTGCTTTCTGACTAAACAGAGCTACCACGCAGTCCCTGCAGTCATACAGGGAATGCATTAACGGGCCTTTCCCTTTCACGGCTCAGCTGCATTACAGACAACACAAAAGTATCCTCACGAGACAGGGAGATGATTGTGAGAGAATATTTCTGCATCTGATGTATCCTCCAATGTGCTGATGCATGGATGCTCTGATGCTGGGAGTCCGTTTGTTTCATGTCTTTTAGACACGAGGTTATACAAAGTTACTGCAGCTGGAGATTAATCTAACTAATACACATTTCATGTTTAGAACAATTAAAAAAAATAATTCAACTGTCCTTCTACCAACGAAGCTCCAGCTTTCCCACATTTAAGGCCACATCAGCAGACTTGAAACCTGCACTTTGGTCTTGGTGTAAGGTTCTTGCATCAGACGTCCCTAATCTCTAAAACAACACACACTTACAATTCCCCCTCACTCCACAGAAGTTTAACCTCATACCAAAGACTTTTAATCCTGTGACGCAGGAGTCTGTGACTACTGAGGGACGGCCGTTCAGACTCCAGGTCTCCTTGTTGACCTTGCTGTACGCTGATGGTGTCTCTGTTGCTAGTTTCTTACAGCCAGCTGATGTGAGAGGCTGTTGCTCTGGGCAGTTGTGGCCCTGCAGCTGGGTAAGCCATGGGGAACGAGAGCAGCACGACTGAGACATTGGTAAGGGCAAGCTTGCAGACGTTGGATAGCTAGGATCTCTACTTGCTGCTATGCACACCTTGAGCTCTTTTAACTAACACAGTCGCATGATTACTAACTTTTTGCTTCGGTGAAATACACGGGCTTTAAATGCTGAGGCTTGTCTAATGAGCATTTAGATAAGATAACATGGCTTGTCTTATTTTGTGATTTACCCTCGTAAAGCTGCGATAACGATAAAGATCAGATGTGTTATTTAATGACTCACAGCATGTGTCTTAATCTATGCCCATTGCTACACACCCTAATAATAATTCATGCCTTTATGATGTTTAGAAGGCCGTTGCGTGTCTCATTATTGCAATGTTGCTGTTGTGCACTTCTAATAACAAAGACAAACATACCAGAAGAAGGACACCTATAGAAAAACGGGAATTT